AATCAATTTTAAGGAAAGTACATATCTCAAAAAAACTCCGGGCTTTATTATTAAAATGAAAATATCGATAGGTTTTATGGAAGTCCAAGGGGAAATTGCTCATTTTAGTTCTTAATTAATTTAAAAACAAATTCCAAAACATTGAGTAATAAATATCTTTAAAATTTAATAGAATTTATGTAGCAATGAACAGTGTTCCGCGGTCCGCGATATTATGGTGGTATAAAAATACATTTTTTTGTTCTCTAAGTCGTTAGGGTCGTTCACCGAAATTATAAAAACATCGAACAACATTTTTGAATTATTCTTCTGGTTTTTAATTTAAAGTCTCCACATTTGCCCATTTTTGCAATAAACATATCTCCAGGCACTGCACACAACTTGCACTTAATATACTCTCCTTCTCTCCAATTTAAGTTGCATATGCTGATTTACGAACACTTTTCATAAAATATGGAATAGTAGATATCTATGTTTTACAAATATAATATTCGTGGTACTTCATCTTTTTTCCTACAGAATTTTTTCTTTGGATAATTAAACAGATCGAGACTTGATTTCCTAAAAAAACGGGTTATCCTAATATTTATGAATTGATTCAAAAAAAAAAAAAAAAAAAAAAAAAAAAACAGTAAAGAAAGTCCTAAAGTCGGCCGACCTTATGATACCCTACACCACTTTGCTAATTTAGTAGGGAGAGAATTTAGTCATACACGCTATGATTATAATTATAATTTAAAGTTCAAAGGACTAAATATTCCGAAGCATTTGTATCTTTTAAATTCGGACTCGAATTTCCCATTTGGTGCAAAAATAATTTAAAATCAGATAAAGATATGTATGAGAGCTATATCCAAATCTGAACCGATCTCGATAAAATTAGGCAAAGATATTTCTGAGCTGTATTTGATATACTTCTCTGAACATCGTTGTTGCGGCTGTGGGTAACAAATATAACAAATCGGATGAAAAATATATATGGGAGCTATAGCTATATCTGAACAGATCTTCACGAAATTTGGCATACAAGTTTCTAGACTCAACTAGGTCGCATGTGCCGAATTCCATCCCATTTGGGAAAATATTAGACGTTTGATGCACAATGAAAGGTAAATCGGACGAGGTTATATATGGGAGCTATATCCAAATCTGAACCGATCTCGATAAAATGTAGCAAAGGTATGTCTGAGCTGTATTTGATTTATTTCCCCAAATATTGTTGTAACAGAGTGCATATTATGGCTGTGGAGGACAAAAATAACAAATCGGATGAACAATATATATGGGGGCTATAGCTGTATCTGAACCGATTTCGATCAAATTTGGCATACTTATTTTCAGGCCTAATTTGGTTGTATGTGCTGATACTATTCGGTCTGATATTACACGTTAGGTGCACAATAAAACGAAAATCGAACGAAGATATATATGGGAGCTATATCAAAATGTTTACCGATTTTCTCCAATTTCAATAGGGTTCGTCCTTGAGCCAATAGTTTCAATCGGATAATAAATGCGACCTGCATTTTGTTCACATGCATAAATCAACTGAGAAAGTGATTCTATGCAGATCATCAAAAGGAGCTATGGGTCTATCTCGTTTCCTTTTGCCTGTTACAAACAAATGCACAAAGACATAATACCCTGACCACCTTGTGGTGTAGGGTATAAAAATATGTATATGTATATATATCAAAATATCATCAAAACTTGAGATATTACAATAGCAATACACTTTTCTAAAATCATTAATAATTTTTCGAATTTATACAGGGCCAGCAAGAGTAGACACCCGGGTCTTCACTGAGCGCAATTCTATCCATATTCACAGTCATGCCCATTTCAAAACAGTAAAATCAGTGAGTAACAAAATTGAGAGAACATATATGTGCGACTCTCTGCCGACCATGTATGGCGCCATGATTTTATCATGTTTTTCTCTTTCCCTCTCTCTTACTCTTTCAAACTGGACTTTAAATTGCTAGTAACACTCAGTGGCATATTTTCAGCAAAAAAATTTAATAATTCAAAACCTTTTCTTCCATTATGCCCTGTCTCTCTCTCTCCCTTTCCGAAGGGAGAACTTGTTTTCAAATGCTAGTAATAATATTTTGAGTAAGTAAATTATAATGCCAAGCCATATATGCAGAGATAAATCTTGTTTGGGACTTGAGACTTGTTCTTAAGATATCTAAATAATTTCGTTTTTCTTTTTCCCACAACCTAGATGGCTTCCAAAATATTTGTTTTATCTCTCAATTAATATTTTATTAATAATTTTGAAAATTAATCATATTAAATCCTCTGCTTCCAAAATTTTGTGGAATCTTTCATTTAATACCTGTTTTGTGAATTGTTCAGAGAATATGGAATAAAGAGTGAATTTATTTTGTTATATCGGCTAAAATAATACAAATGTGAAATAATCTTGTATTTAAAAAATGTTGCTCCCTGTTTTCTCCAATTTGCAAATGAACAAATTTATAACCATACACTCTTTCTTTCTCTCAAAAAAGTTATTTTCCCTGCAATTTCCTCTCATGTCTTTAAACTTTTTCTAAGTCATAATTTATTTCATAAAATTATGAATAAATTCATAGAATGTAGAGTCAGAACGCAGGTGAAAACAATTTTTACACCTATGCATACACATTCATAAGGTTATGAATAGTGTTCATAAAATATAGAATCCATATATTATTATATTATATAGAATGGAATATATAATAGAATGGAAAAAGTTCAATATTTACTTCACTCTTTTTTAGCTCGTTAAAAGAGATGGTATTTATTCAATTTTGAACCATGAAATAGGGCAAACTTTTTTTAAGTGAGAATTTTTGGGGTTGTTTGTGGAAAACTTCAGTAGACCCAGAAGAAAAGTTTAAATTCCCTCGAAATTTGATATAAATATTTGAAATATGATTAGCTTAAATAATGAAACTTGTCACAGTCTTTCTCGTTTTCTTCAGGGCGGTTTGTGCTCCTTGAATTTTGTCTATCTACACAACTTAATTTTCGCTTTCCTTTTCTCTCTTAAAAGAAAAATGTTAAAAATTATGTACAGTGTACTTAAAAAAATAAATTCTATTACCTAGCCTGGGCGCGTTTTTGAGAATTGAAACAAATATCACCAGTGTACAGAAATATTGAAAAAAGATCTACAATTAAAATATACAGTGTGAGATGAAAAAACTGCAACCAACTTCTGACTGCTGCCACTTCTAAGCCACTCGTCCGATAGCTGTTAAAATTATTCCAGTGACAGCTCATTACATTGCTGACAAGCGTACATAAGCATTTTGGTGAGAATTTTCCAGAAAAAAGCTATTCGGGATTGAATTCAAGCGTGTGGCTATCGTTAGAGCACTCCAGGATTTAAATGTGAATAAATATTTTGTGTCTCGTACCATCGCTTGTGACCGTGATACTAGTGGCGTAGTCCGACCTCAAGGAAGTCGGCGAACGAAAACAACAACATCAGCAGAAATGGTTCGAAAAGTGAAGAAGCGACTTGATCGATACCCGCGTCGCAGTGGGCAAAAATGGCTCGTGAGCTGAAAATATCGCAATATCCCATTCGTCAAATATTGTAAAATTAGCTTAAAGCTGTTAAAATTCAAAAAAGTGCAAGAACTTGCACCGCAGCAGATAGAAAATAGACTCAAAAGAGCTAAAGAGTTGCTTCGCTTGGCCGAAAGTTTTGAACTGCCGACTTTGGTTTTCTCCGATGAGAAAACATTCGTTGTCCAGCAGTTTGTAAACAAACAAAATGATCGTGTTTACTTGCCAAAGAGATAAGCTGAAAATTTGCACCTTCGGTTAGCCAGCAGAACTCATGCGTCGGCCATGGTGATAGTGTGGGACGCCATGACAGCTGATGATCTCTCTCAGCTCTTATTAATCGATCATGGCCTTAGATTATTATCGCGAAAATATTCTGGAGGGTATATTAAAGCCTTGGACAGGCAAACATTTAGGCCGCAGACCTTGAACATTCCACCAGGACTCAGCACCATCGCACTCAGTACGCTCCACCCAAGAATGGTTACATAATGAGGTTGCTCGCTTCAAATCTCAGAATACCAATTCGTTGGAAAGCAGAGTTGGCACTAAAAATACCAACGTGTCAATCAACTCAAGCAAGCACTTCGCCAAAATACCGCAGAGCAACATTCGGCCAGCGTGTGACGGAATCATTGGCCGTTTGAAGGCCATAATTCGTGCCAAAGGTGACCAATTCGAACAAATAAGCTTATTCTAAAATTTGATGCTATTTCCGGCATTTTTTGCTTTCATTCCATAAAATTAAAAAAAAAAAAATAATAAAAATTATGGCTATTACCATTTTGCAGTTTTTTATCTCACCCTGTACTTTAGGAATTATGAACATTGTTCATAGCAAAATGTACTTCATTATTTTTTTTTTTTAATTGGAAAAGTATTTTATAGGTTAGAAAAATTGTGTTACTTCATTTTAATATGGGGGTAGATTGTATGAATTTCAAAAATATTTTCTTCAGTATTTTAAAACCTTAACTACAGTCCAAACTTAATGTCATCTCTCTCTCTCTCTAAAGAGTAAAATTAATTATTAACAGTGTTCATGAATGGAAAACAATTTTAATAAATCGAACAGATATGTTCACCAGTCATGAGAATAAACCTGTTTACATTGAGCTTTCTCTCTCTCTCTCTCCCTTAAGGATAATTTACGAAATATGAACATTGTTCATAAAAATTCACTCTGTTATTGGATAGATAAAAATTGGGAAATGTGCACAAAAACTCGCCCCAAAGTTAATGTTTTTAAATGATGTAAATAATACTTCTGAGAAATTAAATATATTTTCCAAAAAAAAAAAATTGATTGGAATATTTTTTCTTAAAAAAAATATATATATGAAAATGGAAATTAAATTTAAGAAAATATTATAATTTTTAATATTATATATAAATTTGTTTATTTTTATAAATTATTATTATTGTTGTTGTTGTTGTTAAAAATTTCTTATATCCTGACAATGGGGCCACTGATATAAATAGACACCACCACTATAATATGGTGGCGTTTGTGGTGGCATGATGACGTTGACAATTCGAATGATATTGAGGGATGCTGTGGCCGCTGCTTTTGCTATTGTTGTTATTGGTGGTAATTTGGCAATTTGATGATGAATATTTGCTCTCAGATATGGTGGTGGGGGCAACATGCAGTCGTTGTTGTTGTCGTGTTTGTTGCCATTGCCCAGCAGCACAACGACTGCAGCGGCTGGTGGTAACGGGCAATGGAGATGTAGACGAATGCCCACGGCAATGTCGATGCCACCAATCATTTATATTGAAATTATAATCATAAAAATAACGATAATTATTTAGTTTACTATTATAACTAATTTTTTGAAAATTCTTATCGTCAGGATAGTAGTGTTGGTATTGTTGATGGCGCAAATTTAATGATATTGGATAATGTCTGGACATGATGTTAAAAGGTTTGGGATTTTGGTGTTTTTTTGTGGTGGTGGTGGTGGTGTTGATGGTTTTGAAAATATTCTTTGGAGATTTATGTCTACAATGGATTTCCATAATGTTTTTGTTCTTGTTGTTATTTGACACAAGTCTCAATGGAGATAATGTTGATAAAAGAGAATTTTGCTTGGGAGCCTGTATGCAGGTTGTGCTACCAATTTTATTAAAGGATATTCTATTATGACAATGACGACTCCTTGTGGTAAAACTTTTTCGTGTTGTTGTATTACATTGTAATTTTGTTATTATGGAAAATTGTTGTTGTTGTTGTTGTGGTAGCTTAGATATTACATTTGTGTCATTCGATTTATTATGATTAACTTTATTATTAGTATAATAATAATCATAATTTTTATATATTTTAATATTGTTGTTGTTGTTGTTCATATTATTTTTAATATTATTATTAGTGTCTTTAAAATTACATGTACTAAAATTAAATTTCAATTTTTTCATATTTTCTTTATAATTTATTTTAACATGTCTTTTATTATTATTAGTATTATTTTTGTTATTTCTCTTAATATTTTTTGTTGTTGTTGTTTTATAGTTGTATTTATCATTATTATTATTATTATAATTAGTAATAATATTATTAAATATAGTATAATTATTATATTTTTTATTTATATCATTACAACTACAACTAATTAAACTACAACTACAGTGACTAATACTAACATTACTACAATTCATGTTCTCCGTCTCCGTCATCTTCTTCTGCTGCTTCTGTTTCTTCTTCTTCTTTGCTATCCGTATTAGCTTTCTCCTTCCAACTGCTAGGCTCATCATCAATCTCTTATACATAAGTTTCATTTTAAGTTTTATCATTCGTGGTATTTGGCTTTGGCAGGCGTGCTGCCGGACCCACCAATACCACCCGCCCTGCAAATGGGTCAGTTTTCGTTTCCGATGTGGCTGGGCCTGTTGCATAAACGATTTCAAACGATTCGTATAATGTATTAATAAGATTAATGCATTTTTACTGTATAGTAAATCGATTTGTTGTCTTCTCCGAACCAATTCCCGAAAATTCATTAATTTTTCCTTTTGACCTCTGAGGCGAGATACTTCATTTCCCCTGGCTTTGGGGAGCAAGCCACCCCGGTCGTCGATCTCATTGCCTCCTCCGCCTCCACCGCTCAATATACAAATTATCAAAATACGATTTTCACTGATATCATACCAAACATTTACCCTTGCCCTACGTGATTTTCGGCGCCCATCTTTGGTCAAATAATTATTGACATTCATCAACATAATCTCCCGATTTTCACAATTTCTACAACGATTTTCCTTTATTCCTCTCTCAAAGGCAGTACTGTTATTATTAATTTGTTGTGGTTGCTGCTGCTGCTGCTGATTTTGCTTTGGTCTTTTCTCCTGTTTTCGATGCAGCCTCAAGGCCCGCGCCGTATAGCAGGACCACAGACATAGCAACGAACTCAACCACACCATTAATTTTTGGGCTTCGCCATGTTTACGATACGAACCCCAGTCTTCGCCGGATGTCTCATAGTTAGTGGCCCAGTACGGTATGCGACAGCGACTTTGTACCGTTGGCAGGGCCGGACAATTATCGGAATAGGCCATTGTCGGCATATCATCCACATCCTCATCATAGTAATAGACGCCATCGCAAAAGGCGTAGTAAGGCAAACGTTCAGCCAGACGGGTAACGTTCATGGCCAAGGTGTCGTTACGCACCACTATGGCCACCGTGGACATTTTCAAGTGACCACCGGCAGCAACATCCTCAGTTGCCACGGGTGCCAACTGCTGTTGTATTTTGGCCTCCACTCGCAGTGCCTTTTCCTCTCTCGCCTTAAGCGTTATATTGTAGAGACGTTTCCCTTTCTCCTTGGTAATCCTTTCGGCTTCCATTTCAATATCCTTTGCATCCAGAAACTCATTGCAATAGGTACAGATGCCATCGGCTGCCGTCTGACAGTAGGTGTAACAGCATTCGTTTGGCCCATGACTGGCCTTGCGTAATTGTTCTTCCGTTTCTGCAATATTATAATCTGTTCGATACAAAAAAAAAAAAAAAAAAAAAAATGGTGGAAAACGAAAAGAAAACACAAAGAATATTATATAAAAATTGAGTTACATGAATACTTCAATGAATATATGTGGTCCGCATACCTAGACATAAAAATGTTGGTTCGCCGGCGTATTGTGTTTGCATTGCTGGCGCCCGATCTGCTGGCAACAGATATGGACATTTTTGTTCAACCGTCTGACAAACACTAAGGCAGGGTCGTATTCTTCGCCTTTTGCGGAATTCCACTTTACGTTTTGATCTGCAAGTAACATAGAGAGGGGAAGGAGTATTAATATTTTGAAACTGAAGTCCCTGAAAAATATTCCTGAAAGTTCACGTCTCGTGAAAAGAGGTCCCTAAAAAATATTTCTTGAAAATCCATTATTTGTGTCCAGGTTTAGTTACCAAATTTAAAAATTTCACTATTTTTGGCCGGAAGTCCTTAAAATATGTCAATAAAATCTTGACACAAATAATGGATTTGTTTTTTGTTCATAAGTATATGATATGTGTGACAAGGTCATTTTTTAATGATTTTTTTTTTTTAAAATCTAAGCATTTTGTACAGAATGGTATGTCGGCATACATTCAAATTCAAAATCAACAATGTTTAGACCAGTAAGTCATTATAAAAATTCTCAAGACCTAAAAATATATTTGAAGAATCCATGACTCTTGGTCAGGAAGGTAAGAAAAATAGGTCTTTATTAGCGAGGACAATTCAATAAAATTCACGATTCTTGGCATGGATGACATTTGAAAAAATTATTTAGGAATCCAACTATATATATATAAAACGGAATGACATATAATATATATATATATATATATATATATATATATATATATATATATATATATATATATATATATATGTATTTTGTTTGATATCCTTGAGAATATATTGGGGGGTATAATATTCATTTTGTCATTCCGTTTGTAACTCCTCGAAATACTCATGTCAGACCCAACCAAGTGTATATATTCTTGATCAGCGTAAAATTCTAAGACGATTTAACTATGTCCGTCCATCGGTCTGTGTGTCCGTCCGTCTGTCTATCTGTCTGTTGTAATCATGCTATCTTTCCAACGAATTGAGATAAAAGGCTAAACTTTTGCACATATGTTTATTTTGTCAGTAGGCAGGTTAAGTTCGTAAATGGGCTATGCATGTCCAAGTTTTCATATGTCGTATTTGAAGTTCGTAATAGAAGCTACAGTCTGTGACAGAAAATTATCTATGCAGGTCCTGGTCTCCGATATAACGGTACCTCCCTATATACGATATTTTGATGATTTTAGCTACATTATTCACCGTTTATTTCAAGTTTCGAATTTGAATATGGTATTGGCTTATGACAAACAATGCCTATGTAGGTTCAGGTCGTACAGACTCTCAAATAACGGCTATATTCGGTATTTTTAAGATGTTAACAGAATTTTTGGCAAATGTTATCTTTTTCGAAAATTTGCAAATTTGTTCCAAATGGTGGAGAGTATTCAAAATTCGGCCCGGCCGAACTTACTACTTTTTTACTTGTTTTTTAATTCGACGTTTATTTCAAAAAATAAAAAAAAAATTGTCAGAGGTCCTTGAAAAATATCAATAATTTAAATATCCAATTTCAGAAGTTTTTCTCTGTCTCTTCACCCACTACGAAATATACTACCATTCAGTACTTTTCGTACAATTTCCGCAAACACCTCCATATGTTCAGGCTGCACACGAACAACGACCAAATTACAAAACCTTATACCAAATTTCTGATTCCAAAACAACCCATTTATCATAAACGTACCACCAAAAGGGACCCCAATACAAAATTTCAAAATTTCGACTTTATTCGTTTACCCTAAACCAAACTATTCCAAATTTAGAATTCATAATTTAAACTTACTTTCCAAATGTGATTAAAATTTTTAGCTCTATCCTCTAAAATGTTAGTACGTTTGCCCAATACAAAGATTCAATTGTTAGTACTTTTCGTACTATTTAGTACACATAAGAATGAATTTCCAAAGCTTCCCACGTACCCCAATCCTAGACCATCACAGTAATCCAAATTCCAAAATTCAGCATTTCATCGCTAACGGCTCGCCTAAATACAAATTGTTTCAAAATTTAGTACCATATAGTACAGGTAAGAATGAATTTCCAAAAATACTCCAACATATAAAATTTCCCAATTTTATACTCCAACAGAAAACTTAATTTCTAATTTCAGGATTCCAGCTCTATAGGTTCACATAATGCAAAATGTGCCAAGTTTACTACAATTCGTTACAAATAAGTACAAATTTCCAAAACTACCTACATAACCCAATCCTACACTCCGAGAGAAATCTCAATTTGTTGTCCAGCAGTTTCTTAACAAACAAAATTATGGCGTTTACTTTCCAAAAAGGTCAGCTGAAAATGTCCGCCCTCGGTTGGCCACCAGAACCACAGCGCCGGCCATGGTGATGGTGTGGGCCGTCATAAAAGCGGATGGACGATCTCCGCTCGTAATAATCGACCGTGGCATCGGAATAAAATCCGAATATTATAGCAAAAATATTCTGGAGGTTGTATTAAAGCCTCGGGTATGCAAACATTTCGCCCGCAGACCTTGGACATTTCAACAGGACTCAGTACCATCGACTCAGCACGCGCCACCCAAAAATGGTTACATTTCCAGCACACAATCTCCGGATACCAATCAGTTGGACTATTGTGTCTGTCGAGCGCTTCGCCGGGAATGTGACAAATTACAGCAGAGCAACATTCCTACAACGTGTGCCGGCTTCATTGGCCGTTTGGAGACCATAATTCGTGCCAAAGGTGAACAATTCCAACAAATCTAAACTTATTTTAAAATTTGATGCTATTTCCGGTATTATTGGCTTTCATTCAATAACATTAAAAAAAAAAAATAAGTAAAAATGCTTTAAGTTCGGCCGGGCCGAACCTTGCATACCCTTGACCATTTGGTATAAATTTAACAATTTCCAAAAAATTAAAATCCTAAAAATACCGAATGTAGCAGTATATTAGCGTCTATACGACGATTTGCACCTGCAAGGCAATTTTTATCACACGCTATTACGATATTCAAATGCGAAACTTATAAATATATCTGTTCATAATTTAGCTAAAATCATCAAAATACCGGATATAGGGAGGTACCATGGGGGCTATTCGAAGACGTGGACCTGCACAGACAATTTTCTGTCATCGGCTGTAGTATTAATTATGAACTTCAAATACTAAATTTGAAATAGTTCCGGTAAACAATGTCGCTAAAAGAGCCAAAATACCGAATATCGAGGGGTACCGTTATATGGGGGCTATACGAAGACGTGGACCTGCACAGACAATTTTCTGTCATAGGATGTAGTATTCATTACGAACTTCAAATACTAAATTTGAAATAGTTCCGGTAGGTACCGTTGTATGGGGGGCTATACAAAGGTTATATGGGGGCTGTACGAAGACGTGGACCTACATGACCCATTTTCAATACAAAAAGTCCTGCAGACATAATACACATTTGAGTAAAATTTTATCAACCCACTTCATTTCGTTCTGAAGGACGGAAATTTATAAATCGACATAGAATTTTATTCTGATCAAGAATATGTATACTTTGTGGGGTCTAAAATGTATATTTAAAGGTATTACAAACGGAATGATATGGTGGAGGGTATAAAAATGTAAAAATTATGGCGTTTGACTTTGTTGGAATTTTTTTTTAATCACACCCTGTATATATACCAAACAAATATATACACATGCAATTTCATTTAAATACCAACCTTTTCAATAATTTCGATATCACCGGATCCTTATCAAACAAAGAATCCTCACTATTGGCAGTCGTTATGAAATTAATGGATTGTTGTTTTTGTTTTTGTTGCTGCTGCTGCGGTTGCCTTTTGGGTTGCAATTGCGGTTGTTTGGCAACTATTTTACTATTATTCGTTTGCTGATTTTGTCGATGATGATGCTTCAGCATTTGTTGTTCATCATCAACCTGCAGCTCTTCCTTGCCATTTCTAGCGTGTTCCGCTAAATTGGGTTTATTGTCACCAATATAAACGGATGTTGTTGTATCGTCATTACGTTTTCGTCTTTTATTCGTTGATTTATTGTTGTAATGTTGTACCGAACTATTTAAGCCACTGGCAGTATTATCACCATCACCCGAACTGTCACCATCACTTGGACTACGTCTTCTGGCCGCGAAGGAGTGGCCAGTTGTTGTGGTCGTCCTCATTGATGTCGTCGTCGTCGTCGTCGTTTTATTGACGAAGATGACATCGTTAAATGTTAATGCTTGTGTTTTTCTGGTTAATGCTGGTGGTGGCGTTGTTGTTATCGCCGCTACCGCTGCAGATGCATTCGACATTGCTGCTGATGATACAGTTGTGGATTCAGAATCAGAATCTGATGAAGATGCTGGAGGTGGTAGTGGTGGTGGCCTTGGGATGTTGTTGGTTGATGCTGATGCTGATGCCATTGTTTGCGGTGATGGTCTTTTATGTAATGCATTATCGTTCGGAATGTAATTACTGTTCAATTTATCATTAAATTGTTTGGTATTGATGTGTTGCTGTTGCTGTGGCTCTTGTTGTGAGCTTCTTCGCTTAACATGATGATGCCTATTGTTGTTGTTGCTGTTGGCTGTATGTTGCATTGGCTCTCTTTCTTTATGTTGCCAATGCAAATAGGCCTGAATGTCATCATAATTGTTAATATTGCTATTTACCGTTGTGGTTGTTGCTGCTGTAATATAATTCGATGTTGTTGCTGCTCTTTTTGTTAGCTTTGTTGAGGACATTCTTGTATTATTGTTGCCATTATTGCTGTTGTTGGCGTGTGTCGTAGTAGTATTTGTTGTCGCTGTCGTTATCGTTAAATGAGAGGTAGTCATGTTTGAGGCCATGTTGGTATTGTTGCTGTGGTTGTTGTTGCTGTTACTGCTGCTGCCGCTACTACTGCTGGTGGTATATGAGGTGGGTGATTTGTTGTTGCCGTTGTTGTTATTATCACTACTTTTAGTATTCAATGCAATCGTTGCCCGTTGATTGCTTCCATCGCTCTCAACGGCCGTTTGATACGTATTTTGTTGAGCCGCTTGTTGTCCGTGTTGATGCAGCTTATGGGGATACTGACCACTGTCCGTTGTGGTTTCATAGATTTCTGGTGGTTTTATAACATCGTTGGGTTCGGCAAAATATGGCACCAACGTACTGCACACCCAGCGACGATAGGCTTCCTAAAAATATGCAAGAGAAGAAAAAGAATAGAGGGAATGAAAATTAGAAAAACTTGTATCAGATATTCAACAATATACATATGTGTGTGTGTGTGTTTTAATATTGTGGGAAGGGATATTTGTGTAGACTTCCAAAATCTTTGTTATGTATGTATGTGTACATGTATTATAACAAAATACCACAATACGTTGTTGTTACAGTAAAGCATTCTATATTAATTTGATCACAGCACGTATCATACAACGATGGCTCAGAGGCATTTTTGAGCAGATGAAGTGTTGTATATTTTGATCAAGTATTCCAACATGGAAATGATTGGATATTAAGTTGGGTAATAAACATTAATTAAAAAAAACAAGTATGCAAAGGCTATAGTCGTTCGGGGTCGACCATGTGATACTCTACAACACTACAATATGTTAGAAGCCCCCTTAAATCCAAATCAATTTTGGAAGATTTCGTTTTTGAAATTTTGTCATGGAGCACTGCCCATATATTACCCTTAGCATTTTGATCAGGGACATTTGCGCACTCAGTCGTGCTATTAGTTGTTGTGTTCCATTTTACAGCTAAATATAATGCAATGGTCATCCAAAAAGCTAGAATTCTTCTCTCTTCTCAGGCTTATTCAATTGTGTGATAAGGAATTTTTTCTGTTTTTGGTTCATTTGAGCCCCTTATAATTTTGCGATCATCTCCAAACTCACGAAGCCGCTCTGCATCTACAAATTTAAACCCATCTATGTGATTTGCTTGTCTACGATATTTGGCTATATTCATCAACGAAATGAGCATAAAGCAGTAAAGAAAGTTTTAAAGTCGGGCGAGGCCGACATTATGATACCCTAAAGTTTTTATGGGAGAATTCTATCATACACGCTATGATTATAATTACAATTTAAAGCTCAAAGGGCTAAATACGCCGAAGCATTTGTATCTTTTAAATTCAGACTTGTATTGCCCATTTGGTGCACAATTAATTTGAAATCGGATAAAGGTATATGTTGGAGCTATATCCAAATCTGAACCGATCTCGATAAAATTTGGCAAAGATATTTCTGAGCTGTATTTCATATATTTCTCTGAATATCGTTGTTACGGAGTGCATATTACGGCTGTGGGTAACAAAGACAACAAATCGGATGAACAATATATATGGGAGCTATAGCTATATCTGAACCGATTTCGATCAAATTTGGCATACTTATTTTCAGGCCTAATTTGGTTGTGTGTGCAAAATTCCATACTATTCGGGCTGATGTTACACGTTTGATACAAAATAATAGGCAAATCGGACGAAGAAATATATGGGAGCTATATCTAAAGTTTGACCGATTATCTCCAACTTCAATAGGGATCGTCCTTGGGCCAAAAAAAAAATGATTTGTGCAAAATTTCACCTGGATCGGGCAATAAATGCAAACTGTACTTTGTTTACAAAAATACATGGACGGACGGACGGGCGGAACAATGGAACAATGGGGCTATCTTGTTTCTTTTTTCCCGTTACAAACAAATGCACAAAGACATAATAACCTGACCACCTTGTGGTGTAGGGTATAAAAGCCAGAAGTTCGCCTTTTGCATATTTCGGATATCGCTTGTAAGTAATGTTGGTATTTTTTCACACAAAAGGATTGGTCCATTCTACCCGTTGTCCTAAACTCTAACTACATACGAGATTTCATGTCCTTTGGTTTCTATTTGCGACCTTTTAACTTCTACCAAATCAGGAACATTTTTAGTGGTTGGTTTTAACCCCTAAATGTATTGCAGTTATCTTTGAAAACAATATCTCTTCTGAGCCTAACCCTACCCTTGTGAAAATTTCGGACTATAATTGCAATTTGTATATAATAACCCCAACCTGTAGAGCAACTGCAAAATCAAGAAATTTTTCAGTTTAACCCCTTAATATTATAGGATCATCTTCCCATCATCCAAAAGGAATAGGTTTTTATTCTGGCCCTAGCCCTCCATTCTACATTTCGTGAAAATCTGGGCATAATTGAGACCCGTAGATTAATTACAATTCAACATGGACAGACGGACGGATGGACGGACATACATAGCTAGATCGACTCAGCTCGGCGAGATAGGAAGTTTAGTATATACTTTCCTATGTGGGAAACCAATATTTTGAGGTGTTAAATAATTTTTGCTCCAATCAAATTTATAATACCCCCAGAACTCATTTGTATGCTAATATGTTCTTAAAAATTAAGAGCGTATGTATCCTTGTAAAGGGTCTTTTGCTTTAACCTGCAAATACCAGTGAAATCGTTATCACAGTTAAATTTCGAACAAATTGCAAAACCACCACAAGATACCAACAGAGACCTCCATATCAAATTTCGAGATTCCAGCTCTATCCTTTCACCTAATACCCAATGTAGTATCACTCAGTTATAGTCCATATTTCCAAATCCACTTCATACCTTAATCACAGACACAATCCGCTGTATTCCTTCACCCATACCAAATTTTGCTGTTACAAAATGGTCAGGCTCAATCCCTTTAGTGTTGTTTTTTTAAAACAATGCTTGTTTATTAGTGGAAAACGATGGTAATGTTTACCAGTGGGTTAGGCAGGGAATACCTAGGTTTCGGAAAGAACCACCAATCCTCATCAGTTCCCTTGTTTTTTGTCTGGGATATTCTCCCCACAATTTATTTTAAAAATAACTTCTATAACAAAAAAAAACTTGTTTTACCCAAGTGACGAGATCGTAAGCTCAATAGAAGAGGAACCAAACAATTACATAAAACTAAAATTCTTTTGGAAAACTTACTATAATCGGTCTTAGCTTACTATAACCCCTAACCATATAATATTTGTTATTTAAACCGATTCTCATAAACACATTTCATGTGGACGTTCGTTTGGTGTTATGTTGTTGCACATAACAATTGGTATGAAAGCATAGTTTGGATCCTTAAGGGAATTGAGAACTATGTTCGTCTACTCGACCATGAACTGGGGCAGGTTCACATCGTACTGCGTACATACAGCTCCTCAAAGGAAAATTATAGTTAAGTGTTGAAGTGAGTTGAGTCAATGTTGTCAAAACACTCAATGTTATTATTCTTGGGAGGAGATTTCTATGAATTTACAGTAGTGACACTTACAGTTATGGTAGCTGGTTCTGCAGTGAGTTGTGACGAGAGAGGGAGAGAGATTTAATTATGTCTATCAAGTGCTCCTTAATTTAAAATAATATATTTAACAAGTAAAAAAAAAAACACATTAAGTTCGGCCTGGTCAAACTTTTAATATCCTCCATCACTGAGTAATAAAACCATTTTTATATAAAAAATCGAAGGTGTTCCGCCTTAATCTACAAATACCTATAAGACTGTTTATATAATGCTGTTAAATTATTTAAAAAAAACAACAAGTAAAAAAGCTTCAAGTTCGGCCGGGGCGAACTTTAAATACTTTGGTACAAATTTGAAAATTTTCAAAAAAAAAAAAAAACCTTAAAAATTCTATTAAAATCTTTAAAATTCCGATTGTAGCCGTATATTAGGGTCTATACGTCGACGTGGACCTGCATAGGAAACTTTCGTCATAACCTATTACAATATTCAATGCGAAACTTGAAAGAAATCTTTTTGTTATGTAGCTAAAATTATCACAATACCAAATATAGGGAAGTACCATGGGGGTTATAAAACGTGGACCTGCCCAGACAATTTTCTGAAATAAGCTGTGGTATCAATTACGAACTTCAAATGCGAAATTTGAAATAATTCCGGTAAATAATGTCCCAAAAATCATCAAAATACCGAATATTGGGAGGTACCGTTACATGGGAGCTATACGAAGACATGGATCTACATGACCCATTTTCTGTCCTAGGCTGTAGTATCCATTACGAACTTCAAATACCAATTTTGAAACAATTCCGGTAAATAATGTCGCTAAAATCATCAAAATACCGAATATCGGGAGGTACCGTTATATGGGGGCTATACGAAGACGTAGATCTGCACAGACAATTTTCTGTCTTAGGCTATAGTATGCATTACGAACTTCAAATACCAAATTTGAAACTATTCCCGTAAATTATGTAACACCTCAAAATATTTGTTTCCCACATAGGAAAGTATATGTGGATGTTCCTATCTCGCCGAGCTGAGTCGATCTAGCTATGTATGTCCGTCTGTCCGTCTGTCCGTCTGTCCATGTTAATTTTTAATCACTCTACTGGTCGCAAATATGGCCCGATCCCCACGAAATTGAAATTGGAGGTGGTCAGAATAGAACGCTATTTCTTTTGGAGAAGATCGCATAGTATTTAGGGGTTGAAATGGACCAAAAACTAAAAAATTTCCTGATTTTGCAGTTGCTCTATAGGTCACAATTATAGACCAATCAAAGCGGAAGTTAGCGTGGGGCTGAAGCTTAGGGCTGGGCAGAAGCCTTCCAAGTTTGATGGTCATCGGGTAATATTTAGTGGGTGAAATGGACCATAAAATTTGTGTTAAATAAAAGTAAAATTTTCCAATAAACTGTGAATATTTTTAATTCGGCGAAATCACAAATAGATGAACAAGTCATTTCTGTCCATTACGTAGATGCCGATAGCTAGAATGCTTATATCTCAAGAATAGCTGGACCGATTTTGACAAATTTTTTCAATTCTGAATGGCCTCTTGGCATAAAAAGATAAAATGTAAAAAAAAACGCATAAAAATATGTCAATAATGACGTTAATATAGATTTTGTAGTATTTTGTGACATTTTTTATTTTTTCATATTTTTTATCGCATGCGATTTTTTCAATTTGACTCATATTATTCAAGTGTACAATTTGAAATATTTTTCACCTTACAACACAGGTTGGAGTTATTATATAAAGATTGCAATTATCGTCCGATTCTCACGAAATACCCCAGAATTCTGCCTTTTTATGCTGATTTTGTTTGCGAATATGGTAATGTATCTTTGACAAGCAAATCATATAGAAGAGTCTAAATTTGGATATACAGAGGG